CTTTTCCCCTGCAGCAGGAGCCCTGCCTGCCAGCTTCATTGCAGGTGACCGTGGCTCAGCTTTGATCCCGAGGGCTGCATGTGTTGCTCCTGGTGCCCTGCGTGTGGGCCTGGGCCTGGGAAGCTTGTGGGGGCCTTCAGAAAGAGGCGGAGGAGAAGACGGTTGTGCTCCCCGTTAAGAGTCTGGCAGCAGATTCGCAAAGTGCCTCTCCCCGAAGGGCAGCAGCAGCAAAGTTTGCGCTGACGTGATGCATGCAGGGGTTAAATGTGCCTCAGAGCGGCTTGAAAGTAAGGGTTAGTTTTACAAGGGGAAGGGGAGTCGTTCTGAAATAAGTGCTGGAAATCAAGAGCAAGGTTTGCAGCGCAGAAAGAGCCTCCGGGGCGAAAAGTCAAAGCCTAGAGTGTTTTCTGGTCTCAGTATAGTTTTGAGATAATCTCTTTTGTTGCATTAACAGCCCCTAAACGAGGCAGTATTTCTTCCACGCTTTGACAGGCTGCTTTCAGACAGCTTTTTTCCTGCCTGATATGCATGCATCTAGGCTCTTATCTTGATTGAGCTGGCTGAAATCTGGAGTAACTGCTTTGAAAACAGTGGATTTACTCCAAGTTTGTCTGCATGCAATTGAGATTAGGCCTGTTCGAAAAGAAAAGCGAAAAAAAGAAAATGACTTGACAAGTTTTGACATCCTCCAAATAACCATTAAAAAACCGAAGGAGGGCAGCTTTTTTGCGGAGTTGCTGTCACCCTTTTTTAACTCCTTGGTTTACAACCTTACCTGAGTTGATAAGAAATAGCTAGTCCTGCTGTGCAGTGAGCAGGGCGGTTGCTGCGGAGCACTGTGAGGGCTGGGAAGTGCCTCTTGAGCAGCACCTCCACATTAAAGCTCTTGGTCTGCTCTGCCCGCACACTTCCATTGGGAGGGAGCGGTAGTTTGCAAAATCCCAACTTGCAAAATGCTAAAAACCACTTCAGTTTTAAGGAGGCTGCTTCAGCAGTAGATCCCTAAGAACTTTTCTGAGGAGGTAAGATGGTTGGGGGCGTAGGCATGTGGGCAGGTTGCTGTATCAGAACATCCTGATAGCCAGGGGCTGCAGCAACAACCATAGCATGTTTTAGATGAGACACCGTCACCAAATGCAGCAAAGCCTCTTTTAACTTTTAATGAAAAATGAGAAGCCTGATCCAAGCAGGGAGAGAGGAAGCATGTTTAAGCATCAGTAGAATCTTTGGCTTGTGAAAAGAGGCATAATGGCCAAAGACAAGGCTGAATTTGTGGTCTAATTACTGAAGCAGTATTTGCAAATATATCTGCTGCCTGGCTCTCGTTTTGAGAGTCTTGTTTTAATGCAGAGTACTCCATGGGAAATGGAGACTCTGTGCCACCTCGTTCCCATCTGTTTGTGCCTCCTCTCACTTCGCTTGCTTGCAGGTGGAATTATATTAACAAACTGCGGGGATTATAGATGAAAATTCATCATTCCCCAGCTCTGTATGTGAGCGCTCTGCTAGAAATATTTGTATACGGGGTGCAGAGTTCGCCTACCAAGCACAGTCTCAGCCTTCATTGTAATTCAGGACATTCCTAAGGTACCGCTTTAGTACAGTAGTCAAAAACTCGAGAAATCATGAAAGTATCGGCCTGTCGGTCCGTGTGCCAAGCAGGAAGCTTTTGTGTGAGCTCTCCTGCAGGGTCATTGACTTTCTGCCAAGGCTGCTGCTGCGGCTACGGAGCGGTCTCGTTGTGAGCCCACGGAAAGGCTGTTAACTTGTTAAACTGTCTGCCTGGTCCTCAGGTCCTGCTTCGCAGCTGATCCTGGGGCCACATGGCCACGGATTTTTCACAGTGGGAAACAGTTGCTGCAGCAGGCTGTTGCTTATTCCACAAAAGAAAAGAATATCTAGCAGTTTTACAGTAATCTAGTAGAAAGTGGATTTCAAAGAAAACAGAAGTGGTAGTGGGCTGGGGACTTTGCTTGTTTTCCATTTTGGCTGTGAAGTATTTTAGAAAAGCCTGTGCTTTGCATGGCATTATAGTGGCCTGCAGAAGAGCCTGCTAAGAGAGATGACCTCCTCCGCTCCCTAGGAAGAGCTCGAGTCAACCAGCCCTCCCAAGCCACAACCCTACAGCCACGGAGGCACCGGCTGGTAGCCCCAAAGGTGCCCAGACTGGAGTTCATGGAGTAAATCGTTTAGGTGGGAACTGGCTCTTTGATGAAAGGTGCTTTTGAGTCGTTTCTATTTTTTCTTAAACACATGTGAAAACAGCTGTTCTCTTAGCAGGCAGCTCTGAGGTTTAGTATAGAATGGAGTCCCCCAGCACGCGTAGAAGAAGGGTTGATGCATTTGAAACGTTCCTCCGTGTGTTTGGAGGTAATGACAGGGCCATGGCAGAGCCAACCACATAGTAAGTGTCTTTAGACACTGGCTAAGTTCCTTTGATGAGGTAAATACAATCTCACCTGTACACATCCTACCCACTCAAGTTGTGCCTGGGCTGCTACAGGCTTGCCAAAACTCAGGGAAGCTTCAAACAGTTTCCTGTATTTGAAGCTCTGTGAGGTCTGGAGCAAGTGAAATACAAGGAATTTGTTTCCTCTGGTGGAGCACTGCAGGGTCTGTGATGGTAGAAGTTCTTAGTGACGTTTTCCTTGCCGTTTTCTGGGGTTCCCCAGCTGTTGTGGCAGTCACCTGTGTGGAGAGATGGGACATCCTCCCTGGCCATCCCTCAGTACAGCCCGGCTGGGGTGCTCCTCTGCCTCCCCACTTACTGCTGGGATAGTATGGGAATTTCATTATCCGCAAGTCTTCAAATGGTTGAAAACTTACTGTGATTGAATATGCAGGTGGGCACATCCACACACAGCAGGGTGTCATCAGCCTATTTCCCTGAAGAAAGCAGGTAAAATTTGCAGGTTCTCTTCTTCCCATTTCCCTCCGCCAGTGACAGAATTCCCACCTACACTGTTTGTGGGATTTGTAATCCCTGGCTGTCCAGGTCAAGTGAATGTCAGGGCAGATTTCCGTTGCAGCGACTCCATTATAACAAGAGTGGTGCTTTATTGTTTCCCAATTGTATGGTTTCAATATTGAAGTTAATTCCTGTACCAGGAGCATTTCATCTAGTGTGAAGCAAGTGGGTTGTAGGCTATGAGGGAGTATGGAATTAGGGGAACATGAAACCAGAGGAGTAGCATTTTTTGGTGGATGCACAACACACTGGTATGAATGCTTCTGTGTTTTGTTCTGCGTAGAGTCCATTTGCCTGACTCCATCAGAACAGAAGCGAGTCTCGCAGCGGTGCAGAAGCGGCTCGCTGCAGTCAGTCTGGGGGAGCTGCAGAGTCTGTGGCACCGAAGTCGTGCACATGCACACGCTCTCCCGGCAGCCGGGGACACGGGAGTGCACAGAGTGATGCTGGAGTCCTTGGTCTGGGAAAGCCCTGCAGACAGGAATGTCGCCCCTTCACGTCTGCCAGTGAGAGGGTTTAAATAACCCTGTTGTAAAAGAAGCCTTGCAAAGGGATGCAGCTGTACCTGGCACCTCTGCTGACATGTCCCTTGCAAGATGATACGGCCTTGTCTTTCCATACCTCTTTTTTTTGAACATCAGTGACAGGAAATTATTGTCTGAAGTTTGAAGACAAATTTAGGCTGTATCTGAAAATAAAAGTGTTTACCTACCTTCCATTTACTGATCCTTCTCTTCTTCCCTTTCTTTCTGTGCACTCCATAGCATGGGTACATTAACTCTGTCGTACTTAGCTTATAAGTGATGTGCAGCTACGGCTCCATCCTCATTTTGTCCCATTTGCCTCCAGCAAAACTTCCTAAAGTGTAAGCCGTGCTTCAGCTCGGTCCTTTTAGCATTGCTCCTTAATCTTAAGCTTTTGCAGTGGCTGGATGAGCTGTAATGCAGCAGTGGCTGTGCCGGACAGGCATGTTGAGCAGGGCTGCTAAGGCAGAAGTTGCCCAGGGCTGGGGCAGCGTTGGGTGTAAATACCAAGGTACTAACGTTTGCCTTGTTTTGTTTTCTGGGCACATGGACCATTCCCTTTGAAAAGGCCTGTCCTTAAAAACTGAAGGTGTGGGGGGCTTCCTTTGAAAACTTTGTGTTAGAGCAATCAAATGATGTTTATGTCAGGTAATTAACTCCAAGGGAAGGATTGAATTGCTGAAAGGCAAAATAACAGAGTGAAAACAGTCTGCAGGTTTTTTTGAGGCATTTCTTATTGGAAAGGGAGTGCTTATTACCGAGATTAGCTTTTCAGAGGATTTAAAGCAGAGTTCAATAGCTATAAAAAGGGTGGCTTGTTTGGCACCAGCATCGATTTGTAGCTTTAAATGCCTCCTTGCAATTAATGTAGGTGCAATAAACATGCGTGCAAAAGAATTTATGGAGAACAAAACAACACTATGTGAGTTCTGAAAAAGGGAGGAAAATACCGAAAAAGCTTTGAATGAGCCATCGAAGTGATGTTTTCCCTGGATTGTCCCCTCTGTCCGTACTTGCCTAGCGTCCCGCGTGGGCAGCACAGGCACTGCCCGGTGCCAGGCGGCCGTGCGCCAGCACGGAGCGCCGGGAGGCTCGGGATGGCAGCGGGATGTTCCCCGCTCAGCACCCCGAGCACTGCGCCCCGGTGCTGTCCGGCGTGTGCTGCTTTAGCACTGCTGAATATTACTGCTTCTGCGTGATGCCTTCCTAGCTTCCTGCTGGAAAGGCGGCTGCCGTGCACGGAGCAGAGCGTGAGCTGCCATCCTGGTACTGCCTGGTAGGATGTACGCCCCTGCACTTTGTGGCATCTGGGTATATCATTTAGATTAATTTGGAAATTGCGGAGTGACTTGAGGAAAAACGCTGTTGAGTTTATTACCCCGGGAAATATAATTAGTCCCCCCCCAAATGTAATTGCTAAATAAATACAAAACTGAATTTGTCCAGAATGACCAGAATAACTTTTTGTCGCCTTTCCTTTTTTGTTTTTTTTTTTTTTTTCCCTCCAGTATGGGGTACTGCATTCTTTTTGTCCATGGCCTAAGAAAGCTCTCTGCATGGTTGGATAAATGGAGAATTACTCTTCCGACTCTCTTTGCTTTGCTGCTGCTGCTATTCTCTTGGAAGACCGTGAGACAGAATGAAATCTGGTTGTCGAGAGAATCCCTCTTCAGGTATGAGTGATCACAGTGACCGCTCTCATATTTTCTCTTGTTTAAAATAAGCTGCACTGGTTTGTTATGCGGAATAAATACTTTCCATTAGCAATAGGAGTAATCCTGCTGTTAACGTGTTGTTGTGATTAGCATTTGGATTATTAAGAAATAACACCTACTTTCTGCCTTCTGAAGCAATTGTGCAAAACCTGGAATAGCACTTTATGTGCCTTGATTCTGGCTATAGCATTTTTAAGACGCTCTGTTTTTAAGTAACTTCAGCCCTGTCGATTCACCAATAATGTAACGCTTTCCCCATATTAAAGACGCAGCAGAGTTTCACTGCAGCTCTGCAGAATACTATAGTAACACCATGGAGCATATTGAATTTTCCTTAGCGATGCACTTAATGGCGAAAATGAAATGCCATGAGGTGCCCAACTTAATGTGCCATATTTCATTTTATTTGATTACTCTTTGCCAAACAGCTCTCTTTGCAAGCTCATTTATATATTTTTGCATTGACGCAGATTGTTTCGCCTTCTGTTTTGCTAGCAAGCGCATTGCATTTGCCTCCAGCTGCTTTCAGCAGTTGTCTAGTTGTGAGGTGATTGCAGCAACACAGGTGATCGCACACCGGTTGCTCAGCTCTTATTTTCTAAGCTATTGGCCAGAGCAAAGTTTAATTTACTCGGCACTAAAGAGTATGAAATTACTTTTCATAGGCACCTTCAGTCTTTGGGACGTGCTGTTGAAGTGGCTGGAGCTCTGGTAGTGGTATTTGTTTGGAAAACCTGGAAAAAGGGTTTCTTGGGTCTGGCGTGATTCACTGCCTGCCCGCTGCAGCGGTGTTTGCTCTTTAACCCGTGGCAGCCATGGTGGCTGCTGCTCCTGGCTTGCCCTGTGCTCGCTTTGAAGAAAAGAGCTGGAAAGGAGCCATTCAGGAGAAATCAGGATGGCCTTCCAAGCTGGAAAGCTCTTTAGGAAGCGGGGTGGGAGGATGGCAGTTCCACACGCCCCGTTGCAGCATCCCCTGGTGCTGCATTGCGTGGGGCTCTGGTCACCTGCGTGAAGGTGAAGCTGAAGTGGAGCAGATGGAAGGAGCTGCGGCTGCTGAGGAGCACTCCTGGGGTGACAGCGGCTACAGCAGGGCCTGTCACGGGTCAAAAAGTCACTGGAGCTGGATGTGACCAGCCTTGTTTCCATCCTGCCTCTGTTCCACGTTGGTTGGACATCTGCGAAGCAGATGAACGTGAGGCCGGAGAGCGAGCCCTCCCTGCTCGCAGCCCCCGTCCCGCTGCAGGTGGCTGCGGCTCCCTCTGGCCCCGTCTGGGCTGCCATGAGCAGGGAGGCCGGGGAGGTGTGGGGGCCTTCTGGGGCACAGGGATTTGCTCTGACTTTTTGAGAAGAATGTGAGAAGGTGGGTGAGCTCCTGCGTCGCGGGCCACCCCCGAGAGTGACGAGCAGCAGATGCCAAGAGAAGTCACACAAGAACAGGGCAAGTAGGGATGTGACCCTCCTGTCCTCTAACCTGCAGTTTAATCTGGAGTTACTTGCTATTTATTTGCTTATTTATTTTGGATTTATCAACCACGGGTGGACTTTCCTTCCATTGCTGTCTCTGACTACCTTTTTTCAGTCTATTTTTAGTTTTGGCATCCTGCGCTCTGCATTCCGCCATTAAATTACACAGCAGGCAAAATAAGACTTCCCTTTCTTTGCACGTCGTGAGCCCTCTGCCTCGTGAGCTTGTTTGGCATCCCCAGCTCCTGGGATTTGCCATTCCCTTTGGTGGTTGGACTGGCCAGGGAATGGCCATCAGCTTGTCACGTTTCCTGTCCCATTTGGGCTTTTGTACTCCAGGCTCTCCCCCAAGCCCTTGCCCAGGGCTGCCTCTTCTTTGCCAGTTTGAATCTCCAGATTGTTTTGCATTTGTGGTCCTTTTTTTTTTTTTTTTTTTTTTTTTTTTTTTTTTTTTTCTTTTTTTTTTTTTTTTTTGTCTGTCTTGTCTGTACCCTCTCAAACTTTGATCTGTCCTTTTGGTAAAGGGGACCAGCATCACATGCACATTTCAAGAGATTTCCGCAGAAAAGTGTTGTCTGTTTTGCCTTCTACTCTTTTCCTAGTAATTCTGAACCTCCCACTTGCCTATTCTGACCACTCTGAGCACTGAGCAGTGTTTTCACAGAGCTTTCGACAATAATTCCAATATGTTTATCTTCAGTGGAAATGTCTGGTTTGCAGACATCATTCCCTCTGCAGATGTAGAGTGCACATTTTCACTGATACACGGATGTATCAGAATTGAATTTCGTGGGCCAGCCTTCATTACCCTGGAATCCTTTTTGAAAGAGAGGCTCCAGGGTGGGTGTATCCTTCAGTTCTTCTGCAGTGAGCACCCCTCTGGTACACATAGTCTGACAAATAATTTAGCTTTTCTGCGGTGGCCTTTTTTTCTTTAAGCACTTCTTTTAGACCTCCTTCATTTATTGGCCTTAGGGGATCTTTGGCAGGTTTCCTCTGTCTGATGTATTTTATTATTAGCTTTGTCTTCAGCGAGTCGTTCCTCAAATCTCCTTTGCTCTGCCTGATTAAGGTTTATGTTTAACTTGCCAAAGATTATGTTCATTTCTGCTTTCCTTCCTTAGCTGTGACTTTCCCTTTTTAAACAGCGTTCTTCATTTCCCTTCACCTCCTTTACCGTGCTTTTAAAACACTTTGTCCTTCTTGCTGTCCTTCTAAAATTTTCTTTGGTGGGCAGTATGCATCTAGTGTGAGTCTTTAATGTGGTTGGGCTGTTCTTGGTGGTGGTTGGGAAACGCAAAAGGAGACAGGTAGAGCAAGAAGGTAACGCAGTGCCAGGAGTGGGAGATTTCCTCTCCGGGCAGGAGTAGGAGGATCTACATAGGATGCTGTGGAGAGGAGGAAAGGGGGGAGAAGTGGATGGAGAAGCTATAAATTAGAAGGGACGGAGCAGGAGGAGGAGATAAGAAATGGCAAAGAAATATGGGAGGAAATAATAAGGAAACCCAGAACAAATCTGTAAGGGGGAAAGGAGACATAAATCAACCTACTTGGTAGTCTCCATGTGTTGACTTTTTTTTTTTTTTTTTAAGTGTGTATTAGGAAAATGTTAGTTCTTCCTTCTTTCTCTCCCCAGTTGCTGTTTTAACTAATGCTTTTGTCCTCCCCCTCTCAGTTTATTTCCTTATCAGCTACATTTCATTCCTGTATTTCCTTGCATGTATTTTTTTTCAGTGTTGATCTCTCTAGACTCCCCTGCCCGTGGCTGAGACCTGCTCTGTCACACACGGTTTTCCCACGCTGCTCCAGGAGACGTTTCCATACTCAGCATGTTGGCAGTTACAAATTTATTGTGGAGTATTTAAGGAACTGTCCTGCACAGCGAATACACAAGCCAGGAGGTTAGGCCCCACCATAACCAGTGTTAAAATCTCAAAGCAGGGGCTTGAGCAGGGGAACCAGAGAGAGGGCTGCAGGCTCAGCGCTGTATCCCATGTCCTGGCCTTTCCAAGGGCTGTGGAGCTGCCACATTTGGTCCTGCTCCGACAGGGTGTCTGAGTACTGCCCACATTTGTGACAGTAGCTGAAAGCAGAGTTGTAACCTGCAAAGGAACTGGGTGATTGTGGCGCTCTCTTAGTAGACTTCCTCCCCAAGCCAGGCTTGCAGACTTTAGTAATCTGAAAAAAAAAAAAAAAAAAGGAAAAACAGGAAAAAGAAATACCCTGCAAAGACGGCACCTACTTTCTGTGTTCCCTTGTTAATTCTGAAAGCCAGCTCAGCATAGAAGAGCTTGACTTATTACATTTTGGGCATCTTCTATAGAATAGTTTAATAAGTTCCAACACTGATATCTTGGAAAGTCAGTACAAGGGTAGGAGGCCAAGGAAAGCAGTTGTTTGTGTCATTGAGAGAATAATTTGCTGTAGAGAACCGTTATTGGAACTAATGATTCCCAAAGCTGAGGAGATCCCATCAGTCTCCCAGGGCTCATATTGAGGCAGGAGTGGCCTCATTTCCTTGTAAACTGAGCTTTCTTTCATACAGAAATCACCAAAAATCAACGACCTCTCTGCCTCACACCAATCCCTTCACAGAGCAGAACCTGTGCGTAGGGACATAGCAGAGAGGATGCCTGGAGATTTTTCCTGTCTTAAGTGGATTTGAGTAATGATGACATTTGAGGTTGGAAGTGCCAGTGGTATTTTACTTCTCTGCATAATGACTGCTAGGCTTTTGCTTTTCCATGGAGAGGAAGTGTTACGTAAAATGGTTGGCATTTACTTTTCATTTCTGTCTCTGAGTGCTGTCATCGGAGTCCAGAGGGAAGGAAACGCTCCTGAGAAGTGACGTGCGTCCTCAGCTGGAGCGAGCTCGGCGCCGCGGCGTTGCGGAAGGGCACGTGTGTGCCGGGCTGGGCAGGGGGGAAACGGGAGGGCTTGGAAAA